TGTCGCTCTGTTGGCTCAAAATGAGCAGCTCCGAGAAACTCGCCCGATGAGGCTGCAGGGGGTGTCCTCACGGTGTTCTCCATGATTATTTTCTGTTTTTCCCTTCCCTCTAGAGCCACTTAGCGACCACACCCTTATGACTGAACGCCACTATCCACAGTAGGCAATCGCGGGGTTTGTTCATTGAGCAATATAGTGTCTTCTAACCAACAGCTTTCCGATCAAGAACTGGTACAAAGTTTTCCTTGCGACACGCACTACTTTGTCACATAAAGCCTCGATTCTCATAAGTTATGGCGAAATGTGCCTTTAATCGAGTTGCGATTAGGTGGTGGAAGGTTTTTGAAAGTAAGTTAGGCGTGTTACTGCAGGCCCTGTCACGGGTCATTGGGTTTTCTTTGTACTCTACAGCATTATCACTTGCTATTACAATGAGGCTTCAGGTTGATGACAAATATCGAGAATTCCAAGTTGCCCTTTGCAGGACACCGTCTACTACATCCGAAGTGAAAGGCGATGGCGGTGAAGGATCGATTATAAAAAGGTACTGTCGTAATTTTCAGTCTCAATTGATTACGGATTACGGCCTTGAACGAGGAATACGAATTTGATGGAAGTTGCCTGTAGTCGCGTTTCGAGTAAGCTAGAAGCGTTCCGAGGCGGCAACATATCCTTGACACATGAACGTGGAATGAGCCCGACTTGGCTGCTTTTTCTACGAATAGCGATCGGTTTGTGATCGGTTCGAAAAGAAAACAACCACTGGTGGAAAACGCTGCAGGTGGTCCTGACACCACCCTCGCATGCGACGATATCAACTGTAGTTGCAAAAAATCAGGCCAACGAAAAAGTAAATGATGAGTGAATTTGCTTCCATGAATACTACGCAGTGCTCCGCGATGACCTATGAAAATGCAAGAGGTTATGTGAGAAGGTAGTGCGGTCCGGAGTGAACAACCCTGTGCCAGTTTCGCGGCGGAAAGTTGTACGGTAAAGGAATTAAGGCGCAAAGTTGCTTCAGTGGTACATCCCTTTTTCCAGTGACTCCGCCTCCAGACTCCGCCTCCAAAGTCGGCCTTCCAGCCAAAAGTAATGCTCCCGGGCAAGTATCATGGAGTGGATGCATTCAATGTCTCTTGTAGAGTCATAGGGTTCATTACTGGGAATCAGCCGACGGGAATCGTCCCAGCGCGCGGTCTTTTCGGTCTTTTACCTCTACAGTTGTTTGAGGCTAGAGGAGGCCTGATGAATGCGTTTCCAACGTTTCCTTTGGCATCTTTTCTTTATATACGGTTCACTTGGCAAATTTTCTTCCACATTTCTGCAACATCACATCGGATTTTTATCACGGACCGTGCATTTAATGTGAACAAAAAAATCAAAATGCTACACTCGGGTCCCCTGAGATGTGGTAGAAGTGGCTGCGTATCTCGTCAAAAGTGATGGTGGAGGTGCGGAGAAATATTTCAATTTTGACCAAATTGTGGTCGTGTCTATGTCGAAACAAAAACTTACAACAAGATGATAGCTGTCCCAACTGGATTATCCCTTGACTCCCATTTGCCATGTTCACGGACCACGCCTACTCCGTCTCAGGAATAAGAAGTGTAAATGCTTTTAAAGGCGCTATACACGCTATACTGACGCCTTTAAAGGAACGGTCCGCGATCAAGTATCGAAGATGAAAATATGGCATCGGGAGGATAGTGCGGTCCGCGACGAACAACCCTGTTCGCGGCAAAAAAGTGCAGGGGAGGGGCGCTATAAGGCAAAATAGGTCCAGTGGTTCCTCCTTTTTTCCAGTGACTCCGCTCCCAAGCGCCGCCCTTCAGTGAAAAACCAAGTTGTGGGACGAGAAAAGCATGAAAATCTAAGCGGCTTCGTTATTTGTACGGACGTAGGGTTGTATTGAGTCAGCTGAGCGCGCGGAGTGGTAAAACTGGAAATGTACTGCAAAAAGTATTGTATTGCAAAAGTGCACGAAATGTTGGAAGAAAATAGCAACATTTTGAATTTGAAAAGCAAAACAAACTCAAAAAGAACAAAGAAACATAATGATACGATGAATTCACTGAAAAAATAAGAATATTAAAGGTCAGTCTTTCAAACGTGGCGCCACACCTATTTCTGGCAGCGAGCCAATAACGTGGAACGCTCGTCCATAAGCGCTGTTTCCCCATCGTATGCACGTACAAACTAGGATTGTAATGGGGTCCTATTTAGGTCATTGGGCATGTTTTTTCTGCTTTTTCCTTCACTATTGTTTTACTCTAAACCTTGTCCTTTTTATGCGAAGCCTAAATTCACTATCTAAGATGGCAAATGAGCGCGGGCTTTTCTTTAATTGCTGAAGTGCGACTGCTTCTTCCACTCCCTCGCGCTAATCCGGCTCCACTGCTCTTGTTCATCTGTTTCAACGATTGATGCATCAAACATAGACGTATTTAGCTTCTTGGGTTCTGCGGACGAGAGTGCATCGAGAAGTTTCCGTGAGTACTACTCGATAAATTTCTTTGAACCTTGCTTTTAGAGCGAGATAACTCGCCTCCTAACCAGTTTCCCCTTACTGAGGGATCATAACTTTCGCACGTCTCCTGCCTTATTCTACGAGCTCTTCAGCTTAGTTTAGAATGACACTCCACAGATCCTTTCTTGTATAGGCAGGCAAAACTGCAAAGGCAGCACTACCGGGGGCAAAAAAGGCACTTTGGCCGAGTCACATATCAGCAAAGTTTTCGCAGCCCAGACAGAGGGCGTGGATACGAGTACAGGGCGGAAGATACCCAAGTTGTTCCTCGATAAGCAGGAGCAGGCTCTCGTCCATCACCTTCATGCACACCAAAAAATGATGCCATCTCAAATGGCAGCCGGAGAATTCCTATGGAAGTGACGTCACCTCCAAATAGCTGTGGAACTTCTTGTGTGGAGTCACCCATGCACAGCTACCCGGGGACAGGCACTTTTGATCTGGAAGATCTCCAACGTCGAGCAGCTTCCGACACCGTTGCTACGGGCTATGGCATATCATCTGTCACCCGCAGTGGCCAAGGCGGGTTGGTGGTATGGACCGGAAGTTCCTGGAATGTGAAGACCAATATTTTTTTTCGTGGACCCCGATTGAAGGTGAGCGCTCTGTTACATCGTCGTGAGATATCCTGCCTTTATGTCATCGCCTGTACCTTCTTGGAAACTTCGTACTGCTACAGGATTGGGTGCCTCACACGGAGTCGAAGGGCGCTGGAAAAACTATCACCTACTTGGAATGGTTGTTCGTTAAGTACCTGAAAGACGGGAATATCTAAGTGTAACACCTGACCTAAACTCTCTCAATTACCCGGCACGGGGGGAGCTCAACGTGGTGGGCTACAGCTGCGGAGAAATCAACAACCTCGCTGAACATCAGTGAGAATCAGCGGTCGCGTGGCAAGAGTCACTCGAATGGCGTTCGTCCAGAAGGGCTGTGGTGGAGAATTATGGCAGTATACAATATGCTGTTGAATATGGTGGTGAAAATGTCCAATCAGAATTCAATAAAGTGTAACTTATAGCGCTTTGAAAGTCAAGGGAGAAAAGTGTCTTTTTTTGGACCCCTGTATTGCACGATTTACTTCAGCACATCCGAGTAGCGGCAAGGGCGGCAGACGGAAGCGCTTTTGTGTTTGCGGGGGGGGGGTCATTCGCACCGTAACGAACTCAGGCAAGTGCAGGCGCTGTCAGAGCGTCAACTGGTTAGGAGAACAATACACTGCTAGTTTGCGACGATCTACAGGTGCGAATCCTTACTTCCCAGTCGTGGCATCGCAGAACGAGTCGATTCGGGGCATAGAATTGACGCACGTCGTTGCCATGTTGATTGCGTTGGTCTTAGCTGCAGAATGCTGCGCCACGCTCCACTGCTAATTGCAACGCCTTTTCTCCCGCGACTGGGAAGTAACGAAACCTTCTGCTGTACCCACTAGAGGTGAAAAACTGTCCTGAACCCATCTGACCTAGTCTGATTTCTGCTGCTTATGTTGCTATTACAGGCCGTTTCAAAACATTCAGCGAGCGAGCTATACGGCGAGTGAAAACGTTTGTGAGTCGGCCAATCAAGGAAAAGTGCTTTACAGCGTTTTATAACTAAACTAGAAGCAAGAAAAGAAGCTGAAGAGTCTGGAAGAATTTCGGTAACGTTTCGGCTCTTTCAGGTCCTAAGTTCAACGAACTCACTATGTTAAATTATTTAGGCGACGTGAGTGAAGCAAGTGACGTCTTGTTTCCCAAAAAACCAATACACGATCGAGAAGAATCTAAAAGAAAGTAAGTTTCTATGTTTCTGTAATAGACAGGCAGGCTGATATGCCTGCGGGGGCCGCTCTTCCAGTTGGAGCTCACCACGTCATGCCTGCTCATTGCCACCCTCAACTGAGACGGCGCAACATGTGGCGATTGCGAAGGGTCTAAGATCCAGAAACGTGGTATAATCATCACATTCACAGCGCCGCTGCCACGCAGATTAGCCTTACCTTAGTAGGCCATTCATTACTGTCAGAGTGATTAGGTTAGGCTGTGTTCAACCTTTCGGCAGCGTCCCCAAAGGCAAATCAGCGTCCAGCCAGCTTTCCGATCGTCGTCAGCTGTCAGCAGTCATCAGGCCGTATGGCTAGGTATATGGTATGCGAATCTAGCCCAGCGTCCCCCAGACGTTTTACCAGGTGCGGCAGCGGGCCGCCAGTGTTCACCAGCGTCTCGAGGGCTAGAGAAGTAAAGCTATCGATCTAGCGTTTGCCAGCGTCTGGCAGCGTGCACAAGCGTCTCCCACGGTACGGGAGAGGAGAGTATGGCGCGCATAGGGAGCGGCTAGCAAACAGGCTTACCCTCGTACTGCGCGTCTACCTACCAGCGGTCTGCCACTATCTTATTCCTCCACCTTCCGTCGCGCCATACTCTCTACAAGCAGCTTGCTACCTCCTATTTCCCCATACTCTACCAGCTGTCTGTTACCCTTCTATCCTGCCATACACTCCTCTTCCAAACGCGATAGACGCTGTTGCACGCTAGCGCACGCTGGCAGACGCTCGCAGACGCTAGAACGATATCTATTCTCTTTCCTGCGCTGACCGCTGGCCCGGGCACTCGGAACGCTGATGGGCGCTATCGGTCGCTGGTGGACGCTGCCGCAAAGCATGAATGCAGCCTCACGGCATCGTGCGTTTCACAGCACCATTGTTTTCCAACAGTTGCGTACGCGAGAGGTACTGTAACCTCAGGCCTACTTTTACTGCCTTATGGAACCTAACGTCGAATGCTTTCAATACTCCTGATGACTACGACGAGTAAACTCGGTCATAAGTAGAGCTGAGAGTGTTCCGGTGTACGCGGTCGTGCGCAGTCGCAGTTGTGGAAAACATGTGACGTAGTGGGACGTAGGCTTTATGACCTGATCAATCTGGTGGGCTGAATCAACTAGTTAGTATAGGCTGATTCGCGCGCGATGCCGCACCTCGAAGCCAGTGCACCCCAGAACACGTCGCCCTTTCCCTGCTCAATTAATGTAGATTACGTCGCAGTCTCTCGGGGCGGTCTCAAAAAGGATAGAATAAGCTTACCCACACGCGCTCATACTGGTTGTTTTCTTCCTAAATCGATCGTTAACTGATCTTTTCTCGGTAGAGCAAGGGAACCGGAAGCGGGCTCATCCTGCCTCTCCTGTCACAACCCTGAGCGATTGCGACGTTATCAGCTAAGCAGCATAATGCGACTTTACCTCCTTAGAGCATAGCGAAACCTCGCTGAGAAGTGTTCCCTCTCGAGACGCATAGACCCCAAAAACCTTATTAGTATGACATGTACTTTTCCAGAAGAGCATCGAACGGAAGGACACCGATTCCGATATTGTTCAGGTAAAAATCTATGACTGACACTATTTTTACACAGAAATTTGCGATGGATATTTTTCAGAGCGTCGCTCAGGCACCCATGGTTTGCTCTGGAGGCGATTTGCCAAGCGGATGTAAACTTGTACTTGGGAATAAGAATAATAATGGCAAGATGTTCATTGATGATGGTCAGCCGTTCTGGACAGAACAACGAAAACCGACGGATGCCGATCTGGTACGGATGATTCGTACTTCGAGAACTTCTGTGGTACATACTTTTGAAATTGCATATCCGAGCCAATTACGGTCTGGCAGGAGTTCTTCATGCCATCAAGGCTACCAAGGAAATATGATTGGGAAAAGGATACAGGCGGCAGCTGGGTGCGGTCCAGGAGATCGGAGATGCGATGTTCTCCGGAAACGGAGATGTGCAGTTCACTGCTGTTGCTTGAGCATGTCAC